TACAACGGCAAAAATTTAGGCCTGATTGAGATGACTTCGTTCTGACGGCCCACGTTGTCCAGGCATGTGATGGGCCATCACAGATGAGAGGATCTGTACTAGTGGATCTAACCGACACGCGTGCTACAAGCAAGTTGCGATGGCTAAACTTTAATCTAAACAAAACCCTAGAAACCCTAAAGGGGTACCTAGCTATTTAAGGAGGTGGGAGGACGACCGAGGGGTCTCAGGGTCATGCTCCACCAGGTTGGGGCACACCCCACATCGGTCCAGTTGGGCCGTGGTTCCAAACGAAGTTACAAGCCCAAAGGCTTATGATAGGTAGCACAACACCTTGTTTTTTTAATTACGGATGACTAACATGGAATTTGGTGATGAGACTGGATCCGTTGGAAAGAGGAATTTGAGAGCTTTTTATCAAGTACCCATGGACCGGAAACAAAGATCGTATGCACATTTGGTGGCCGTTTGAAGTAAACACGGCTGCAGATAGCCGAATTGGATTCCAGAACTTATGTGGCTTGTCTCACGATTTTGCTATGATGTGAGCAACGGTTCTATCTATAGCAGCTACGATCACATCACAAACCAAGAGTACCCAAAACCATTTGTTGAACTTAAATATATATATAGTGTGTGCGACAGTGCGAGTGAGTTGCTCAACAGTAAGTCAAGCATTTCTTTACCTCTTCCTATAAACCGAATAAACTAGCTAGTCCTATATACTACCTCTGTTTTTTAATAGATGACGCCGTTGACTTTTTCTCACATGTTTGACCATTCGTCTTATTCAAAAAAATTACGTAATTATAATTTATTTTGTTATGAGTTGTTTTATCACTCATAGTACTTTGAGTGTGATTTATATCTTATACATTTGCATAAAATTTTTGAATAAGACGAATTGTCAAACACGTAAGAAAAAGTCAACGGCGTCATCTATTAAAAAACGGAGGGAGTATATATGTTGCCACTTGCAAATTAAGGTTGACTTCTATCACACGAATATATAGATTATAAATAAACATATATAGGGGGAGCAATAGAACTACATGAGATGACAGTTTCACCATCCATCGGAATTCGGCCTGATCAAAGCTTTTACACACCTGACGAAGCTAAGGGCATGTACAACGGTCTTCATTAGTGGTCTCTCTCTATTGCCATGCAAGTAAATTTAATGACATGAAAGAAAGAGAAAGAAGTATGGTTGTTATGCATGACAATGGTTTAGAGTCGACTCTTAGCATTTATTAGAGCAAATTTTGTTGCATTGTAGTGAAAAAAAAGGAAAGAATAGTAAGAAAAAGTATTTGGATACATTAATGATTAGAGACCATATCATCTCTAACTATTGTAGGATGCTAGTCTCTAAATAATATAGAGCTCATATCTGACTCTATCTTTGTACATACCCTAATCGGAATTCGGGAAAAAAAAAACCAAACCTGATCGAGCCGACATGGCCGCCAGCCACCTCACCTGCGCGCGACAGCTAGCTCCGCCGCAGCTAGCGTACGTCGCGCCGCGCCGCCCTACACGTGTACTGGCCAGTTGACCGCCGGAGTGCTACTACGTTCGCATGCATCAATATTCGCGCTCCATCATCGTTATTCCGCGCGCGTGTAGGCCTCCCGCCGCAGCAAAACCTACGAACTTCGCGAGCGCGGCGGATTAACTAACTTCGCTCTCCCAGCTGTCCGTACACGTGGCCGAGCGCGGAGAGACGAGATCGAGCTCACCAATCTCCACGCACGCGCGTACTACGTACTCCTATATTACGTCGTCCACCTCGATCCTTGGCCATGCATGATGCATCAACCAGATGCTCGCGCGCGTCGAGAGATGCATCCATGGAAGCTTCCTACTTTTGGCAAACCCTAGCTGAAGTAGCTAGACCTTCCATACGAAACGAATTTAGAATTAGATGTGACACATCCTATTACAGTGAATATAGATAAAAATATGTTCAAATTCATTGTATTAGAATATGTCACATCTAATATATAAGGTTGGTTTTTTTTTTATGAAACGGCTCGAGTAGATGCTTCAGCTGCTGATCGCCAGCAGCAGCTAGCTAGCCGGCTATATATACATAGAGGATGTGTCTCATGCCCTACCACCCCACAGTTGAAATCATAGCTAGCTAGCTCGAGTTAATTAGCCATTAACAACAGCTTACACCGTTGTTAATCCTAACTAGCTAGAGCTAGCAAGCACAAATCGATCTGTGCTAATTACTGTGTACACATAATTATACATTTATACTTATCGATCGATCATGAAGCAGTCATCATCAGGGCTTGCCGCCATGGTCGTCACCCTCGCCGCTGTCACGGCGCTGCTGGTGGCACCGGCGGTGGTGGCGGCGACGGCGACGCCGCCGGCGGGGTACACGACGGCGGAGGACGTGAGCAGCGACTTCATCAAGCAGGTGGGGAAGTTCGCGGTGACGGTGTATAAGCTCGCCAGGGGGGTGTCCCTGTACTACGTCAGCACGTCGCAGTGCTGGTCCAAGCCCGCCGGCGGCGGCGCCGACGACTACTGGATGGTGCTCACGGCGACCAACGGCGCCGGCGCCGCCGGCAGCTACGTCGCCACCATCTGGGGCATCCCCGGGTCCGAGTCCAAGACGTGGAAGCTCCTCAGCTTCAACGCCACCTCCTGATCGATCTGATCGACGATCAATTAATAAACTTATTATTAGTTCCAAATTTGATTTTAATTTGGAGGTTGGGTAGTGACAGGGATCGATCAGCAGTGTCGCGTCGAAATTTCAGATATGTGCGTGTGGTACTGGATAATTAATTTGCAGGTTTGTGATGTTTAGCACTCCCTCCATCCTATAATATAAGAGATTTTGGGTGGATGTGACACATCCTAGTGCAATGAATTTAGACAAATCGTCTATCCAAATTCATTCTAGCATGTGTCACATCCACCCAAAGTCACTTATATTATGGGACAGTGGGAGTATTTAATTTTTATTGCTGTATTGCGGTTTTGTATCTCTAAATTGTTTCGACAAATAAGTATTTATATTAGTATTATTATCAATGAATAAATGAGACATCACCTTCTGTAGTTAACTATGGAATCCTATGTCATTTTACACAGCGCATGATGCCGGCATAATGTCATCTTCTGTAAATACTTCTAAGTATTTACAGTTGTTACTACATATAAAAGAAAATCAAATTTGATTTTTTTTAAGTTTGAGTAATAGGGGACTGTGTTGCATGCATCGTATCAAAATTTAGGCTTCGGACCACGTGAGCTCTTTCCCATTATTACAAGCATATTCTTTTTTTCCGCATGTAGAAATAAAATCCCAAGGCCTATAAAAATCACTTTTTATAGTTATTCACGGAATGAATTTTAATTTCTCAAGTGGATATCCTCTCATTTACCTTTTTCTTTCAAGTTCAATGCAAATATTTAGTTGTGAAAAATTCTGGGAAAAAAATGTACTTCTATTAAAATTTATTGGTCCACCAAAAATCAAGCTAGGTTAAATTCGACCTATATATTAGGGAAAAAATAAATTCAGGTATAAACATTACACAATTATTCATACGTTGAATTTGACATTTTGTTATCTCGATGTATGAGTTGATCAGTTTGGATATAAGCTCTATAAATGTGTTGGATGAGTGTTGTCAAAGTTTTTTAGAATTTCATAACCGTTTGAACAGTTTTAAAACGTACAAACGGACATCCCTCAAGTGAATCAAAATAGTTTTCCAGTTATCCACATGATTGCACGATTGTGCTAACACATGCCTCACTTGCTCGATCCAATTATCCTCACTGTACGTACTAGTGGGCAACCTGCTAGTCCGTATAAATTAAAAGCCCACATGCTATGCTCACTATACTAGTAGAAGAATACATAAGTATAGCTAAACAACTGTGATTAAACAGGCTTTAAAACCTAGTAGCTTGTACCACAATGTACTGCTGATACATTATAATATTTTGCATGCTTTCCATGTGCCTTTAATTTGCAATTTCGTGCCAACCATATATATATATGGCCGTTCCAGGCTTCCAGCGACGGTCCTCCTAGGATTATGGGTTCTTTGAAATTATGTCACCGTCGTCGCTTCTCAAAGAATTATCACAGCAAATCAAGTAATATAAACCACATGGTATGAGGTGATGAGGTGGAAGATAGAAGTTAAGAGAGAATGATCCACCCCTCGTGCAAGGGGGATCGATGAGGATCCGGCCTATACCATAATAATGACACTACCAATACAATCACTAATATATGGGTCTTATCATATGTCCTATTGCCCCACGTGTCAGTACCTATAATGATAGTATAATTATGGTATAGGATGTGAATTCATGTAGGGCAACATCCACACAATCTCCAAGAAAAATGAAGATGGTGTGGGAGTGAACTAATATTTGAGTTTGTGTATTGCATATGATATATTGTACTTTTTATCTCTTAATTAATTTTTAGATGACATGCATGGTTTTAAATTAGAGGTGGCATTCACCTTCACTATAAAACTTGCTCTCAGATAAGTTGGCATGAGTCGCATGACATAAGCAGCAGGTGTGCAGCAAATTAACTCCAATAACTTACTATCGATCTCAGAAAAGTAGAATATGGTTACTTTGTGATATCTCAGAAAAGTTCCCATTTTTTTCACAAATATTTATGTTTTTTAAAAAATGTTTCTTTCAGTTTCTTTCAATAACTATAAAAAATTTCCAACATTTTCTCAAAAATTTCTTTCAATATATAATCCAATAATCATCTCTTTAATTTTTTTAAGGACCGCATGAAAAAACAGGGACCTATATTTATGACATCACATTTTTAACCAAAGGACTTACATTCAAATCGATTTTACACGACAAATTTCAAAACATGCACTATAATTATATTGTAAGTTTCAATGTAATATTTTTATAATACACAATGTGTGTATGCAATTAGCACTAAAAGTAATTAATTTTTTTACATGAACTAGAAGTAATTAATTGTCCACTTAAAAGAGGAGATCAGAGAGATACAAATATACTTACATATATAGGAGAGAGGGCAATCACATAGAGTAAGAAAAAAAATAAATGAAATTAGGTAAACAACTTGGCACCATATTTTTAGCGAACCTGAAAATTGTACAGTACCCAAATAATTAAGAAGCCAGATTAATTACTTCAGTTATTACTACTACTACTTCCTCCGTCGCATAATACTTGTCTTTTTGGCATTCAAAATTTATCCCAAAATAATTGACACTTGCAAATAGTACTTGTCTCATCAACCACTTCCAATTCAAATTTCTTCCCATCATACCTCCAACCACCATTCTACTTCTAACTATATAATATTGTATTAAGGGTATTATAGTTTTTTCTTCTAATCTTAGCATATGCTAAACAACCTAGAATGACAAGTATTTTGGGACGGAGACAGTACTACTTTGCAGTTTTGCACCACTAATACATATGACCCACAAAACCAACCAGACACTGGACAGTAGTGCACACGTGCTAGCTAAGCTACCAGGGAAGTGGATTTTCATCCTCGTTTTTACGTGTCCCCCTGAAAGTTATCAAAACAATTTAAAAACAATTAATATGATATATCAATATAAAATATTTCATTTTACAAACATATAAATTAAAATTTATCATATATATTAGAAACGAAAATAACAAATTCAGTCAAATTTGTTATTTTTGTTTCTACTTGTGTAAATTGAATTTAAATTTTGTTTGTGAAACGACATGTTATCATGCCAAGTTTTTTTAAAAAATTTTGAAAATAGTTTCCCAAGCTACCGGCGCTGCAGCAGCTGCTCCGCCGTGCGCTGCACCAGCTCCCACGCGTCGCCGACATGCCTCATCTCCGTCATGGCGCCGCCGACGGCGAGCCGGATCACGAACTTGCCCTCCACCACGAAGTGCGTCATGAACGCCCGCCCGCTCGCGTTCACCGCCGCCAGGAGCTCGCGGTTCATCGCGTCGCCGCCGCCGCCGCCGCCGCGGAGGCGGAAGCACACGAGGGAGAACCTCCTCTTCGCCACCACCTCGAACCGCTCGTCGGCGCTCACCGCGCGCTCGAACCACTCGGCCATGGCGACGTGGCGCCGGATGTGCGCGCGCATGCCCGCAGCGCCGTACCGCCGCAGCACGAACCAGAGCTTCATGGCGCGGAACCGCCGCGACAGCGAGATCTGCCAGTCCTTGTAGTCGATGGCGCCGGCGCCGGCGGCGGCCTGGGGCTTCCCGCCGCCGGCGTTCTTGAGGTACTCCGGGTCGGTGGACAGCGCGGCGGTGAGCGCGGCGGGGCTCGCCACCCAGAGGCAGCAGCAGTCCATGTTGGTGAGGAACCACTTGTGCGGGTTCATGCTCACCGAGTCGGCGAGCTCGGCGCCGTCGAGGTAGCCCTGGTACTCCGGGCAGATCGCCGCGCTGCCGGCGTACGCGGCGTCGACGTGGAGCCACATGCCGTGGCGGCGCGCCACCTCGCCGAGCTCGCGGACGGGGTCGACGGCGCCGATCCCCGTGGTGCCCACAGTGGCGCACAGGTACAGCGGGACCAGCCCGCGCGCCACGTCGCCCTCCACCGCGGCGCGCACGGCGGCGCCCGTCAGCGCGTACCCCGACGCCGCCGCCGTCGGGACGACGCGGAAGTTCGCCGGCGTGATGCCGACCAGCCGCGCGCCCTTCTGGAACGTGGCGTGCGTCTGGTCGGAGGCGTACACCACCAGCTTCACGATGCCCTCGTGCCCAATCCTCCCCAGCGCGCGGTCCCGCGCGGCGGCGAGCGTGCACACCACGGCCTCGCAGGTGCTCCCCTGCAGAACACCACCGCCACCGCCGCCGCCGCCGCCGCCGGAGCCGGAGAAGAGGAAGCGATCAGGCAAGCCCACCAGCCTAGCCATCCAGTCCACCACGACGGCCTCCAGCTCCACGGCAGCCGGCGACGCAACCCACATGAACGGCACGACGTTGAGCCCCACGGAGAGCATCTCGCCGGCGAACCCGGCGGCGCTGGCGTTCATCGGGAAGTAGGCGAAGAAGCTGGGGCTCTGCCAGTGCGTGAGCCCCGGGAGCACGTCGCGGCGCACGTCAGCGAGGATCCGCTCCGCCGGCTCCCCGAACTCCGGCGCGGCCTCCGGGAGGAGCCTGCGGAGGCGGCCAGGCTCGAGGTCGGCGGCGCGGACGGGGTACTTGTCGACGTCGCGGTAGTAGCCGGCGAGGAAGTCGACGACGGCGGAGGAGTCGGCGGCGAAGGTGTCCGGGTCCAGTGGCTGGAGCGCGTCGAGTGGCAAGCTACCCATGGCAAGGTCACGTAGCTTGGGCGAGAGTGAGAGACAGCTCAAATGTTTTGTGTGGATTTTGTACTTGAGCAAGACGCGCGGGTTCGGGAGCTTTATATAGCGCCAAAATTTGCTACTACGAGCCATAATTCAATCAGCACCACTAATTGGGAACACATGCCCTGAAAGAATCATACACGCTTCCTCCGGTTTTTAATTACTCAGTTTCGTATTAATTATAAGCGTTTGACTTTTTTCTAATCAAATTTAGTTAAATTTAACCAAATTTATAAATAAAATTAGCATCTAAAATATTGTCATTATTACGGATAAATCATACATCCTATCGCACGACTTATGGAATATACTGGTATGGTATACCTTCACGTGCACAGTTTGTTTCTGTATGCGTTGTAGGAATTCTTCATGAATAATTACGGAAAATATCCCTATGGTTCGGATGATTAACTAAGTCCTACTTGGTGTGGATAGAGTTTCTATTATATCGTATGAGATCCGATGTCTTCGAGTCTTACTTGGAAACCAAGGTGGTCCACGGTATAAAAGGGACCCCCTGGGAGGGGTGCAAGACATCGAATCTGATGATGATTCCATACTCACCTTTATTTTTGTCCGTCATCCGAGTTAGACACATATAAAACCCGGATCAGACAATTGGACTGACCCAGACACGACAGTATCATATACAAAATTCATGGGTTCGTGAAATACGGCAGTACCATAGACACGTATAAAACCCAGATCAGACAATTGGACTGACCTAGATACAGCAGTACCATATACAAAATTGAAGATGATGGATCACACAATTGGACTGACCCAGATACGGCAATACCATATATAAAATTGAAGATGATTCCGTACTCACCTTAATTTTTGTCCATCATCCGAGTTAGACACGTATAAAACATAGATTAGACAATTGGACCGACCCAAACACGACAGTACCCTATACAAAATTCATGGGTTCGTGGAATACGGTATTACCATAGACACATATAAAACCTAGATCAGATAATTGGATCGACCTATATACGGCAGTACCATATACAAAACTGAAGATGATGGATCAGACAATGGTCCGTGGTACTACTGTAAAATCAAAGGTGTTTTTGATTATTATTTTGTGATAAACAATTGGCATCGGAGATTATTGGTTTTGATATTTGGAATTTATTTACGAAGTGGTTTTGGAGATGATTGGATTTACAGGTGAGTAAGAGGTGTTGTTATTTTATGTGACCGGTCAGACCGGGCATGGGTTGCCGGTCAGACCGGCGTGTATCGCGCGGTCAGACCGGCGCAGCCCGCGGTCTGACCGGCCGACTCTGTTTCGGTTTCGGTTTCGGGTTGTTTGTTTGGATATCCATGATTGTTTCATGATTATGGCTTCTAGATGGATACTATGCGTATGTAATACTATTGTTTGCTAACAATGATTCAAGTTGGAGATAGCTTGGTCTCGGAATATGGTTTCTTTGTTTATTTCATGTGTAGGTGACTTGATGCCTCGGGAGAGTATTTGCGGTGATGGACCGGGAGTCGGCTTGGGGATAAGAGACGACGTCCATGGTAGTCAGAGATCATGCGGGATACTAAGGCTAGAGTTCAATACACGTGGTTGGTGAAGATTCTATATGTATTTCACCGGGTTTCGGCGGTCTAACCGGCGGCGCACCGGCGGTCAGACCAGCGGCATCGCGGCAGTCAGACCGGTGGGGACACGGCGGTGACAGGCAGGCGACAGCAGGTGATATCAGCGGTTCGACCAGAGTTTGATCTCGGTCAGACCGACGTTCTTCAGGTGGTCAGACCGGCAATACAACTTCGGTCAAACCGTAATCCGTCGAATTTGAGGGTAAACTTTTATTTCCGCTAAAAGTTTTCGGTTTTTAGGTATACTAACAATTCACCCCCTCTCTGGTTGGCTTAGTTGTTGTCGATCCTACAACTACCACAATACATATCGTTGGGCCAAAGTTGCCATTTAAAGATCGTGTCGATGTCTAAACTTTCGTGTTTCCGTAGCTGAAAAGAGGGCACGATTTAATTAACGAGAACTGATTAGCAAAAGTGAATTACTTCTTACCAAGAAAGAACCAATTAAGTAGATCACGATCCCGCCGACCGACCAGCCCACGAGAAAATGACAGACAGTTGAGACGTACGTGTCCAGCGTTTACATTACTTTAATTTTCCTAAGTTTGTCCTAAGTCTCAAACACTTTAATATTTGACTATTAATTCTACTAACTTATATAGTGTAGTATCATAAAATTTATATTTTGATTCACTTTTAGAAATACTTCTATAACATATAATTCACATGTTATTAAACTATATACCGATTTTTAAAATTTAATGACTAAAAGTAGATACATTTAATTTAAAATAAACCTAAAATAATTTGAAACCGATCGACAAAATACATGATTCAGTCCGAGAGAACATCACGTGTTGGGTACATGGGACAATATTCTAAGAAACCAGTCATGTGTCTGAAGGAGATTAATTAATGTGATTTAATTTGGTTTGTCATTTGGTATTGTGTTGTATTATATTAAGGCCATATGATCTCCAGTTGGATGAACAAATCAAACAAAAAAATGATAAGAAAACAGAATGAGGACGTAGGTTCGTTCGAACACAACATTGTAGGAGTCGAACCAAACCTAGCTAAAGAATTGCTTGGTCTGAAGACGTCTAAAAACCGACGAGAATGAAAATAAAATGTACGAAGAAGAAATTATCTTTTCTTATTTAACAATTAATTGGAACTCACCAACCGAAACTGATTCATTTAACTATGTATCTATTATATACTAAAAGTCCATTAAACTTTCTACAAACGCTCCTAAACCGTCACATGGCATCCTATAAACGCTCCTAAGTCGTCAAGTGGCACTACAATTTAGAGAAATTTAGAATAAATCTCTAGCCATTGATTTTCATTAAATTAGGTGGACCCATCATTTACCACCATTAGATTTATCTAAAAGAATTGTCTAACCCCCAAACCGGGTCCGCATGGGCCTGTACATTTTCTTTTGAGGATAGTACGTACGTACTTCCACCCCTTCTTCCCTCAATTTCTTCATATTTTTGCACACATTTATTCTCCTATTATCATACTTTATTAGTTAGAAAAATACCACAAATTTTTAATACGCCATTGACAATAAAGTTTAACTGGCCTACTTACCGATAAAACTATAAGTTTAACTGGCCTACTTACCGATAAAACTATGGTTCACGCTCATCTTAAGAAGCACGACTATATCACGGGACCTATAAATAAGGCATTAGAGAAAACTCTTTAGCGGATATAGTCGGCTTCACCCGATCGTTAGAGGAGTATTCATATACAAGTTTAATTGTTTTATCATATTAATTGGTAGAAGCGGTATTTTAAAATATTTATAATCTCAAAGAGGAAGAACAATAAGCGTACTTCCACTATTTTTAACATAAAACTTATATATGGTGGTAAATAGGAGTGATACTTTAATTATGTTAGCCCTATTTGGTCTAAATAATCCCCGTATGGTCCAAATAGAATAGAACAGATCCAACATGTTAATTCATATGATGACATAACTATTAGCGATGATGGCCTCCACTGGGGTCAACTTAACTTAGCCATATGCTCCATGATTGATGCCCTTTAGGGAAGGATAAAGAGAAAATGGAAGTGATCAAAATAGTTTTTTAGACATAGTTTGTTTATGGTGTTGATCATTACTACTTAAATTTTTATGATATAGATATAATACTCTCTTTTGAAAATGAGTGAGGTTAATTATTTGACATTATTTTAAAAAAATATAGCTAAACAAACATACCACCATGATAATGCCACGTGTACCCTGTAAATGCTCCGAAGATGCCACGTGGCACTATGATAAATTAAAGAAATTATTAAAAATTCTGAGAAAAAAACATCTAACCATTGATTTTCATTCAATCTGGTGGACCCAATATTTTTAACCATTAGGGCAGTGTTTAGTTCCCTTCAAACTTTCAACAATTCCATCACATCGAATGTTTGAATACATGCATGGAGTATTAAATGTGGACGAAAACAACCAATTGCACAATTTGCATGTAAATTACGAGACGAATCTTTTGAGCCTAATTACGCCATGATTTGATAATGTGATGCTATAGTAAACATTTGCTAATGATGAATTAATTAGGCTTAATAAATTCGTCTCGCAGTTTACAGGCAGAATCTATAATTTATTATATTGTTAGTCTACGTTTAATACGTCAACTAAACACGGCCTAGATCAATATATATATATATATATATATATATATATAAAATCCTCCAATCCCTACCAGGACTGTACGTCGAATCGTTGGTACGTACGTACTTATCTGTGTGGACAGCCCCTACGCCTCCTCTCTTTCTCTTTCTCTTTTCTCTGTTCTCTCTCTTATTTCTTATTCATATTTTTATGCAATATTAGTTAGAAAGCACAAGAGATGAGCACATTCTTAAGCCGTCACATGAACATCCTACAAACGCTAATAAATCGTCACGTGGCGCTCAAATAAGTTAGAGAAAATCCTACAAATTCTAAGAAAAAAGAAAAATATTTTATTACTAATTTTTATTTAAATCGGTGGATAAGTTAATTTTAACCATTAGATCATTAGAAATAATGGTGTGGGCCATGTACATCGATCTAAAAGAGATCGGTTTTATAGCTACGTTCATATAAGAAAACATTGGATAGCAGTCTAAAAAAGTTGAGATTCTTTTTTCTCTCTGAAACTAAAAAAGAAATACTATAATTCAATTAAATTTCATAGAAACGGTATCAAGCTGTCACGTTGACATTCTACAAACGCTTCTAAATCGTCACGTGATATCTAAAAAATAGAAAAAACCCTATATATCTAAAAAAATTTCTTATCATCAGTTCTATTCAAATCGATGAACCTATTAATTTTATCCATTAAATATATATAAATTAATGGTGTAGGCCATGCAACATAAAGGAAATGAGATCGGTTATAGCTTCCTTGGTACACATAG